CTGGCTATGTCTCTAGCTCTCATCCCATCTCTAGGCTCTTAGAAGACCTTGGGAAGCATTAAGTACAGAGATTCAACCACAGGTGACATCAGCCACTCCCTCAGGAGCTTTATTTACAAGCCTCAGTCAATGCACAACAAGGACAAAACCCCAGAGGCCACACACGTTCGTCAAACAAGATGATGGTGGAAATACTGTAGCTTCAACCATTTCTTGCCTCCAACAGAAAGATGGCAGTAGGAAATTACCCTCCCCTTGCAGAGATGCCACAGAGCTGTGGTGAGGAGTGTCAGAGGTGATAGCCTACTGATATCAAAGAGACAGGTAGGAGAAAAGATGGAAGATGAGACTTGAAGAGATGGATGGGTGCAGCAGAGGACTGAGGAAGAAATTTAAGAGAACTGAAGCGTGAAGTGAACAGCCAGCCAGACTACCTTGAGCAAATTTTTATCAGGACGATAGAAAACTGATACTGAACACTACATTCCACTTGGAAATTTAACTTTCGAAGTTAATTGTGTTAAAGGTCATGGGACATTTTCCAGGAATACTTTCACTAGCAATTTTCATGGTGCCAGAAAGGGGTGACAAAAAGAATAGTATGAAAATATAAATTTAAATGTTGACATCTAACTTTCACTTGCTGTACTGACAAGTAGCTTACATTGGGCAATAGTGAAGACGCTGAAGCTATTCTAGACTAGAATAATATCCTGTTCTCATTTGCACAGATACAAATCATGAGAGAAATTAGATTAGGAGGTAAGTTAGTAAGGGTATCCATTTCTGTATGTGCTTATTTGTGTGTAATATATGCAATGTCCTTCCCCCCGCCCCGGCCCGTTTGCTGTTTTTAGCTTGAACTGAGCATAGTCGCTCACCTGGTACTTCAGTGAATCATGTTCCCCTGTGCCTCCAGAGGCAAATACATCTAGACATATTTTAGAAGATCACTTCTTTCCACCAACTCTGGAGAACAGTACCAAGATCCATCATCACTTAACATGCAAATCCTGTAGTTAGGAGATGGTGCAGAGCAACATCAGGCTTGTGGTCTCTATTTTAGTGAGTTTGTCAGTAGTAAAGTCTGTAACTCTGGAACTGGCCATTATGTTTGTATGTGCTTAGGTGGACACTAACAAGTGTTCCCTGGAATAACCACTTAAGGAAGCATCTGGATTAGAAAGTACAAACATATTGCCTAAATTGAATTAAAGGCAGTCAGTCACCCCAAATTACATACTCAAGTGAAGATATTTCCAAATACTGCAGCAACAACTGAGTATCACACAAATGGGATGGCCTCATGTTTAAAACATAGAACTGAGAGCTATTAGATCTTAGTTTCTCCTCCTGTTTCTGCTTCTTGTCCTTTCCTCTTGATCTTGAGTAAATTATTTATTTACATTTTCCCAGATTCAAAAAGAGGCAGTTAGACTCCCTGGCTTTAAAGAGTAGTGTTGCAATAATTAAATCATTATTCTTTGCAGAGCACTCTAAAATGATTAGATGCCGCTGCAAAATGCGTATTATTAGTGCTATTATATTCCACTAGCGATTCCCAAAATAACTCTATCTTGGATGGATTTACAGTATCGTAAATTAAAGCCAGTGGTACCTTGGATCTTGAACCAGCACCTTTTCATGGCAGTGTAAAAGGAAGGAAGGAAAATAATCCAGTTGTGATCATAACACAGTCTCTCTTTGCACTATTCTACTGCCACAATTTCTTTCAGCACTACATTATACATACATTAACCATATTGGCAGCAAACACTTGGAAGGAAACACCATGCCAGTAAGTTCAACAGTGAATGGCAAAAGGCACACGAAAACGATGGGCTAGCTAAAGCCCCACTATAAATGGTGATGTGACCAGTATCATATGCTTCTTTAGAAAAAGAGTAAAGATTTTTTTAACTGGATTTTTCAAACCTCAGCAAGTTTTAGACTCAGCAGTTGGAAAAAGGGCCTTCTTTTGAATTATGTTGTTTGCATAAGGCAGAGAGGTGTCTTTGACACTAATGAATTGGATTCATTTGTTCATGTGTAGGCAAAACATAATCATATCTGTCACTGGAGCTGCTTCTGTTGCAAATGCAGACTGGACAGGTTTATACAGAAATGACCAGTCAGGTGTTCACTAGTCCAGGCTGTATCTCTGCTCAAATGCAGTTTCAACATAGCTGTAACAGCAAATTAGGGGTAGAAATAGAGATTCCTGCCTCAAACAACTAACTTTGAGTAAGACCGCATGTGAATCGGGATGAAAAGTGATGATACGTAACTTGGTACATTATCATATCTGCCTAATGAGAATGAACTGTCATATGTGGGAGCACCAGTTCTGTACAGGTGCTCCTGTACAGAAGAGGGAAACTGTTCTTACAAAGGGACCACTGAACAACTTTTTAAGAGATGTATTCTATAGCATATAAATGCAACACAGTTAATACCTCTAAAAGCACCATTACCTGTTGGTCATCTGGAGTCCATATGCCACAGGTGATCTGACTCTCCAAGTTTATTTCTGAAGACCAGTGTCTTTGACCGCTGACTGAACCAACCAGCACAAATCCATCTCTATAGGAGATAAGTGCTTGAGTCCCATCATGGCTCCATGTAAAGTCGCTTACCTTAATGTATCAAAGACAAGAAAATAGATATATGGGCCATATAGGAATTTTCTGTTGTTTTCATAAAAGGTAGCACTGCACAGAACTTGACAAGGCAACTATTAGCCCAGGTGCAGCTCTGATGTCACGGCTACTGGACAAAGCAACTGTCCCTGCAAAGTGTCTTTGTGACAATTCTTGCATATTTCTTTCAAAAAATAATTGTTTCCTTTTCTCTTTTTGAAATGTATAAAGCACCATTTCCTCTTTATTTTGCCTCTCAGGAGTTGATCAGGACATATCTCTTGACTGCAGAGAAAACATGCATACCAACCTGTGCCCCGCGATCATTCACAAGCTCCACCGACCATCTGCCTTCGTATTGTATCCAAACAAATATTCCTCCATCTGCATCGCAGGTTGCTAATTTCTGGAACGGTTCATTCCATCTCACCAGCACAACCTTAAAAGATCACAAACAAAAACAGCATTACCAAAACTGCATGTTGGCTAACAAGTACTTAATAAGAACCAGTTAAACAATATTGCAAAATAGACATTGCTGCATTTAAATCCTAAAGATGTACAAACCTGCAATTTTCAGCACAGCATTAGGTGCCTCTTAAGAACAGCTGGAATCGTTTTGTCATGGCTGTCAGGAAATGCATCATCTCCCACTACCAAGCCTCTTTTGAAGGCATTGCATGCTTTCAGTAAAATCACACTGTACACTGGAATGCAGGACTTCAATACAGAAGCAGCAAACAGGAGGCCCTGTACAGACCATTCAACACTCCTTCAACATTCCCCTACCATAATCCCAGACACCATCAGACTTTATGCCAAATCATCACCTCCTGCTGTCTTCAAATGAAGATGCATGCATTGGTATCAGGTTGAATCTGAATACTCATATCAACAGTGACATGAAAAGAAAAATTAAGAGTCCCAAATTATTAAAAAGTAGACATTTCATAGCAAGGTTGCTTTGCTACTGAGTGCAGAAGGAAGTCAAAGCAGTTTTATACTCTTCTCTCCACATTAGAGCTATCTGGGCTTTTCTGGAGAAACTAATCAAGTCTAAACCTACCAAATCGCTCTCTCATTTTTAATTAATATCAATTTAACAAATACAGTATCTCTTGAGACTTCAGTATAAAACTGAAAAAGGCATGTCATCCTAGTGCCTGCTTCAGAAATCAGCAGTAAAACCATTTATCTTCTGTTAGTAGCTTTATCTTAAAACCTTTTCTTCCAAGTAAGTTTAATTTCAAAAACATGCAGATACACATGGGATGCTTATGCTCATACACAAGGAGATGCCCCCTAGCTGTTTTCATAGAATAATAGAACGGTTTGGGTTGGAACGGACCTTAAGATCATCTAGTTCCAACCACCCTGCCATGGGCAAGCATGCCTCAAACCAAACCAAGTCGCCCAAGACTCTGTCCAACCCTTGAGACACAGCATATACCAACAGAGAAAACACGTATTAGTCAATCAGTAGAGAGTTATACTAATTACTTACTGGGCATCCAGCTCTAAGAATGCTTTTACATAAATCTAAATAGATAATTAATCATCTAAAAGAGACACAAAGAGAAGATTTTCTTGAAATACATTTTGCTTCTCACAGAGACTGGCTGACCCTCCTAAAGACTCTGGCCCTAAAATGAGCTTTGAGTAGACAGACCCTTCATGCTTCACAATGAAATCAGCAGTCATTTTCAGAATTAGGATATAACTATGCATAGATGAAACCTAAACTTGGCAGCTGAAGAATATGATCTTACATTGACTTAGCAAGCGCTACACTTATTCATGGAGAGTCAAGGATCAGAACTTCAGAACATTTAGATGAGTGGAGCTTGCCATCCTGAATCACCAGCCTCTGAATGATTAAACAACCACAAGCAAACTGTTTCTTCATGCATGCACAAAGATTAAGGGGAGAAGTGAGTATGACAAACCACCTCTCTGTTGTTAAATAGCTAAGAAAAATCCCATTTGAGATTCTGCAAAAAAAAACTTGCTTCTACTTGATTATAGCCTTGCAGCTGCACTCCAAGTCACTAGTCCTGTCTCCAGTCAGGTAGATTATATCATGCCACTAGATGGATTATATCACATATTCCTTTTTTAAAAAAAAAAATAAATTGGAAGAGCAGTCAATAAAATATTCCATCATAGCAACATAAGCAGCTGTACTTTGGCAGAGAATTTGCTCTGTCCCTTCTGCCTAAACAAGAATAGCACAGATTTGTCAAAATTTTGTTTTCTTTTTGATGTAACTCCCATGCACAGAGCCATCATTTCATCCACCCTGAGGCAAAATGCAACAACATAACTGTACTTGCCAGTAATGTCTAACAATATTACAAAAAGTGAAGAAAACCCCAAGGATAACACTGAAATATCTTCATCTTCAAAGGCTGGGAGCCACTAAGACTTACGATGACTTTTAAGGAGCAGAAGGTACTTAATCACCACTTAAAAACAGACCTTTAATGCTTAGACTCTGCTCATGTTGGACATTTCATAGATCACACAGACCAAACTGCTGGAGAACATTTAGGAACAAAAGATAAAACTAACTGTGTTCAAGTAACATGTTTGGGTTTTTTTGCTAACACCATCAAAGGTGCTACTACCTGTTACAAAATTGCCCTACTTTGTCTAGCAAAGACTTGAGACAGCATATGATTTTACAGGTTAGCCATACCAGTTCACTTTATGATACAAATTATGGGCAAAGTGACAACAATTACCTTGATGTAATTTGTTTCTTTTCTATTTTAAATAGGAATCTTGTTAAAACTTGAAGGTAACTTTTGATTCAAATTCTGTACAACCTGTTTTTAATTCAGATTAGATGAAAAATCCAAGAGTACATTTGAATGTAAACAAGATTAACTAAAGCCTCCCTCCCTCCATCCCAATTAGATATAAATTAGTGACTTCCAAAATAAAAATCACAGATTATAATGAAACAATGATTTTATATGTCTTTTGATAACAGCCTCATAAGGAAGCAAATTTGTAATTTGAAAATTCAACTTCTTTAAACACAGAGCAAATGTTATCATTTTATGAGGTCATTTTAAAGATGCTTCCAGCATTTACATTTAACATCTTACTACAGATGCTGAGTCTACAGCTACTTTGAGTATTTCCAATTTCATTTTTGACAGTTAACATACTGGAGTAGAGAGAAAAAAAAAGGAAGAAGGATTGCCCTAAGTATTAAGATAACTTTTGGCTTTTATGCTGGCTAAAATGTAAAGCATATGAAAACATGCCCCATTGATAGCACACTTAAATAATGCATAAGTTTGAACTACCCCTCTGCAAAGAGGAATTTTATTGCTAACCCATAAACGCAAAGATACCATTACTTTCACTAACAGTTTCGACTCACAGGGGACCCATCTTTACTTCTGCCTTTATGGTTCTCTGCTTTCCACTTAGCATCTTCACACAAGCACTGAAGGACTAAACTGTTTTGTACTGAAAGAGCAAAAATGCTGATGTGCCAGAGAAAGTTGTCTGTGGCCGATTTGCGGTCCACACAGCCTTCGTGTATTGCTTGATTATTTTGGTTCATTTATTGTTTGTTTGTGGGTTTCTTAAATACTATAAAAATCACAAATTGTGTTTGTATCCCAGACATAATCAGCTTCTAAACTGCTATCTCATACAAGAAAATAATGGCCCATCAATAAAACTTCAAGGAACTCCTAACATAATATAGTAAGTACAATGTAAACAACAATGTGTTGCTCCCAAACAGGATGCTTTCCATGAAGTTCAATGAGCTGTTACGTCACGGTCTTTTGAGCTCCTTTTAAATTTTTTTGTTTTCCTTTCAGTTAAAAATGTTGTGCAGTTATTACAGCTTATGAACCTCAGTTCATAATTATAGTTTTTGAACCACAGTTACTTCCCTGTACTACTTATCTTCACATATGCTTCATTTGGAAGCAGCCTAGTCTTGTGGCAAGGAAATATCTGTACACAACAGACACTAATTTATTTTTTGTTTTACTTAAAAATTTCCATTTCCATTCACTATTGCTTTTTGGTCCATTAGTGCAAATAACAAAACAAAGTCCAATCAGATTCTGGCCTGGAAGATCATCACATTTCTTTGAAAGACACTGCTACAGAAAGACCATCATGCAGCTTGCAGTGATATTATTTATTAAAATCTTAGACAAGAAATTTTGAGTAACTGCAGTTTTTGGAGTAGCAAATATGTGAATTATGGTAAATGTGACCTCTTCCCAACAGAGAACACGTTTGGTAATTTCATAGAATCATAGGCTCGACCAGGTTGGAAAAGACCTTTAAGATCATCAAGTCCAACCATTACCCCAGGACTGCCAAGACCACCACTAAACTATATCCCTGAGGGCCTCATCTATACAGTTTTTGAACACTTCCAGGGATGGTGATTCCACCACTGCCCTGGGCAGCCTGTTCCAATGCCCGATTATCCTCTCTGTGAAGAAATTGTTCCCAATATCAAGTCTAAACCTCCCCTGGCACAGCCTGAGGCCATTACCTCTTGTCCTATCGCTTGTTACTTGGGAGAAGAGACCGACCCCCACCTCACTACAACCTCCTTTCAGGTAGTTGTAGAGAGCGATAAGGTCCCCCCTGAGCCTTCTCTCCCCCAGGCTAAACAACCCCAGTCCCCTCAGCTGCTCCTCTCAGGACTTGTTCTCCAGACCCTTCACCGGCTTTGTTGCCTTTTTCTGGTCATGCTCTAGCACCTCAATGTTTTTCTTGAAGTGAGGGACTCAGAACTGAGCAGAGCATTTGAGGTGCAGCCTCACCAGTAATTACTGAAATCTTACCCCTGTAGTTCCTAAAACATATGTTATATAATTGCTATAGAGACAAACAACTAGAAAAACTAAATGGGTAAATAACTAGGGCAACTAGTTCCTGGAGTTCCATACCAAATTTAGATAGATTTATTACTGAAACACTGTAGTGAGTCACAGTGAGTCTTTTTTTTTAATCTTTGATCCTCCATCCATTTTACTGGGGAGCATGCATATGCTCTAAAGACAGAGGTCTTCTCCAGCATTCCTTTTCACATGTACTATGGAGATGTGCTTGTAGACAGATTTTCGCAGCAATATAGAGGATACTTGATGGCAACTATTTGATTACAGCATGATTTGCTACACCTGGAGGGCCACGTTCCTTTATCCTGCATGAGCATTTCTGAAACTACAAGTGAACTAGCCACTTTTGCAGGGTGTGCAGGATGGGATGCATTATAACTCCACTGAGTGTATACAATACTGAACATCCTACAGAATTGCTGGCCTTTTTTTCCTCCCTAAAAAAAAAAAAAATATCATACTACATTTCTAATGCTATGGAAAGTGCTGCTATGAACCCACCGTCCAAGCAGTGATGGCAAAAGATCTAACTGTTCCTAGGACAGAA